AACCTGAGAGTGGCCCCTCTGTCCTGGCCAGGAGAACAAAGGAAAGAGAGTCTCTAACAGGTCAAGAGGCTTTTTATGGCCAGGGCTTTGGCGGGCTCTTTGAGGGGAGGGGTCAGGGGAAAGGTGGCCTTGTGGTTTGCTGACGTGTCCTCTGGAGAATGCTTGTAGCCTAGGTAAGATAACACCTAGTTCTCTCTGAGAAGGTGGGAGGGTTTATTTAAAAGGTGGTATTCAGGTCCGGATTCTATCAAACATGATTATAGAAATTATTTAAGACCTTTAATGACTGAAATGTTTTTATTCCTTTCCTATATATAAGAACAATAGTTTAAGCTAGTTAGAGAATTGCTGGTTGGAAATGATATTCTTTAGAATTTTTCCAGCTTTATTTATTATAACTTTATTATAGGAATAACTTACAGTGTGGATTTGAGAAGCATAGTGATTCCTTGCTTTTATTAATGACCAACTTTTTCTCTGGAAGCTAGAGGATCCTTTCCTTATCCTCAGTGTTCTTAAATTTCATGAAGATGTGTCTTGGTATGGGTCTTTTTCTATGTATGTGCTAGATTCTTTTAATCTGTTAACATATGCACTTTGGTTCTGGGAAATTTTTTCTAATTATTTCATTGATAATCTCTACTTTTTTTCTCTCCTTTTTCTGGAATATCTATTATTTAAACAGTGTACTCCCTACACAGTTGCACTCATCATCTTATTCTTTAAAAAATTTCTTTAATCTTTTCTACTCTCTGAAAGATTCTCTCAATTTTATCTTTGAAATCTTATACTGATGATTCTACATTGATGCTATAATATTTTTTAATGTACAAGAGCTCCTATCTCTGGGTGCCCTTTTACTAAATCACGTTTGTTTCTTGGCTGCCAGATCTTCTAATTGTAGTTAGTTAGTCTTGATGTCTTCTTTTACTACTGTAGTCTCTATTTCTCCAAGGCCCACCCTTCTTTTCTTTCTTCCCTTCCCCTTCCTTCCTCCCTCCCTTCCTCCCTTCTTTCCTTCCTGTCTCTATCTGTTGTACTAATTACTCTACTATCTACTCATATTTAAGATTGTGGATCTAAAAAGCTGATTGGACCCTCTTGCTCCTAGTTAGGCCATGTCAATTATGAAGTTCATTGTATGGCTGAGCCTTTTACTTGTATTAGCAACATCAGATTATTGCTTCTGGGCTGCTGGGAACAGAATCTTTTAATCTCTTGCCTGGAAGATAAAGGCCTCTTTGGGCTGGGAGTCACAGCATTACTTATTTTTAGAACAACACCTTCCCCTTCAACTGTCAGAAGTACTTCATAGAGAAAACCATCTGTTGTACCCCTTTTCACAGAAAAATTCTCCAGTCTTTTGCTTGAGGTGGGAGAGCAGTTACAAGAAGTGGGAGAGTAGACCTGGGAATCTGACTGCTTTCTCTTTATAGAAGTACATCATTCATATAAAAGAGAGTATGCATTATTTAAAGAAGAAAAATAGATGAACACCCTGGTGCCCACCATGCAAACAATGAAATAGAACATTACAAATACCATCTCCCCCAAAAAACCAATGGGCCTCACTTTGATTCCATTTACTCTCTCTCATAGGTAACTATTATCCTGAGCTTTGTGTCATTCATTCCTCTACTTTTCTTTTTCTTTTTTAGTAAATCCTTTTTTCAGTAAAGATGTTACTTCTAGAAAATAAAAACACAAACCTCAGGATAATGTTATATCTCCTCATTCATTTAGGTGTAATATTTTCTAAAAAAGAGTTTTATCATTTTAACCAGAATGCTCTTGCATTTTTTTGTTAGACATATTCCTAAATACTTATATTATTGGATGCTATTATGAATTACATCTTTTTATAAATTATATTTTCTAACTTTTTGTTAATGTAGCTGTTGAAATACACTTGATTTGTATATATTTGTGTATAGCCAGAACACTGCTAAATCTTATTAATTCTAATATGTGTCTGTAGATTCTTTTGGATTCTCTGTGTAGACAATCTATTATCTGTGGGTAATAACAATTTTGTTTCTTCTATGTGAATTGTATCTTTTTGTCCTGGATAAGACCTCCAGTACAACATATTTCTTCTTTGGAATCTTAAGGGAAATTGTTTTCAAAGTTTACCTGTTAAGATTAAACTTGTTTAAATCATTTTATAAATAACTTGTACTAAGTGGAATAAGCTGTAGTAACAAAGAAATCAAAAAATTTAGCAGATAAAACAATAAAGGTTCAGTTTTTATTCATGTTATACATTCATTGGGTTGACTGAAGGTCTACTCATTATAGCTGACAGAGCAGCTACCATTTTGAATGTTGCTAGAAACTATGCCAATGAAAAAGAGAAACTATGCCAATGAAAAAGAGAAACCTCTTACACTGGCAATGAAACATTCCAGCCTGGAAGTGATATTCATTACTTCTGCTCAAAATTCATTGGCCAGAAAAAGTTACATGGCCTTAGTGAACTACAAGGGCAACACAAAGTACATCTTCAAAAATAAACCTCCAAAATCTTTGAAAAACAATACTCAGGACCACCAACATCCTTTATTAGTTTGAGAACGTGGCTATTTCTAGTTTGCTATATTGTGAATATGATTTTTATTAATTTTTTTTTCCTGCATCTATTGGTACTTACTACTGTGTTGACAGCCATTTTTCTCTCTACTCTTTAGGTATCATTCCACTGTCTTCCGACTTCCATGCTGCTATTGCAACTCTTCTGTTAGCCTAATTTTCACTTCCTTGTAAACTAAGTATATCCAGAAAATGGTTAATTCAGCATACCTGCAGATTCTCCTGGTTGCCAGGACTATCTTGTGGAAGATGACCTCTGACCCTCTGGAGTATGCTAATTAGAGTGTTTATTTAAGACTTGAGCCATTCCAGATAGTTTATGCTAACAACATGATTTATGGTAAACACTTGTTTTTGATGCTTGAGGTTTTGGGCCACCTTGTATCAATTTGACCTCTGGGGGACTGGAATCTGGGAAAAGATTTACTGAGCTTCCCTGGTTGGCAACACTTTACACATGCAGAATTAAATACCATCCATCTGACTTAACTGGGAGAGAACAAGGGGAAGCTTGTCCTCCTGGATTCAGCTTCATGTGCCTTCTCCTGGACCCCACCCTATGTGTCTTTTCCCTTTGTTGATTTAATCTGTGTCCTTTTGCTATCATAAACCCTAATTGTGAGTACAGTAGCTTTTCTGAATCCTGTGATTCCTTCTAGCAATCATAGAGCATGAGGCTGGTCTTGGGACTACTGTATCTTTTCTTTTTGGCTTAAGTTCCCCTTATCTTGGGTATGCTATGATTTCACTGGAATGTGTATATAATGGATTAGTAGTTTTGTTTGCTGTTCTTTTTTAATTCTAATTTTGCTTGAGATCTTAGGCTTCCTGAACCTGTAGACTCATGTCTCTCATCAGTTGGGAAATTTTTCAGCTATTATCTGTTTATTCTTTCTGACATGGTAATTAGTATATGTTAGGCCTGTTTCTATCCATATCTTTCTGCCTCTATTTAATATTTTTCACTTTATTTTTGTTGTCTGGATAATATCTTCTGTGGTTCTCTCTTCAGCTGTCTATACTTTGCTACTTAAGCCTTCTATTGAATTTTTTATTTCAACAATTTTATTTTTCATTTCAAGAATTTATAGGTGTTTCTTTCTCAGATCTGCTTTTCATCCCTGATAATCACTTGTTGATTGCTCATCGTTAAGATTTCAGTTGTCAGTTCTTTAATCATTTCATGAATTGTTATTCTGTTCTGATTTGGCAATTCTAATATCTGATGTTCTGGGAGCTTAAATGCATTATTGACATTCCTGTACAGTCTTACACCTGGTAGGTTGATGTCTCATGAGTCTGGTACTTCCTTTATTATTGTAATAATGAAATTATAGAGGAGGTAAAATGTATTTTGTCCATTGTTTCTGCTTGGAACTGTTCTGAGCTGAATCATGACAACAACTCTGACCCTGATCATTTAATTTCTTGCTCTGATTTGATAAGAATCCTATGGGCCTAAATTGGAGATCCCATACTCCTAAGAGGATTTATATTTGTTTCTACTGCAACACTTATAACTATGATTGGGTATCAATTTAGGAGGCCATTTTATCCCCTGTAAGGATTTTGGCTTAGTGCCAGAATCTCAGGTTCAGCATTCCTTTCTTCCTGCTGGCCCATTTACAGTGTCCGAGCTAGCAGTCACTGTGTCCAGGGGTATCAAATATGTTGGTTGGCTAGGCTGGGTCTTATGGCTATCTTGGTGCTCAGAAATATTATCAGTTCCTCGTGATCCATAAGAAAGGGGTGGTGTGCAGGCTCATAGAATTAATAGATTCTCCCAAGAAAACTGGTATGATTCCGTACCAGAGTATGAAAAGTGAATGCTGAGTAGGAAAATAGCAGATGTCTACCACAAAGGATAAGAATTCTCTAGTAGAAGACGTTTCTCTATAGGTTTTATTTAAAATGTGTGGAGCTTTTAATAAATACATATTTTTACTTCTGAGTTCTAAGAAACAAGGTATATCACTTTTGAAACAGTGGTATTTCTTCTATGAGTGTCTGATGGGAAACTGTCAAAATTAACTGAGTTGGGAAATCTAGTGTTTGACTCAGACTTAAATTTAAATTTGTGTTTTAATTCAGTAAATCATGTGAACTTTTCCACTTTGGAGTGCTTGTATCTCAATTCTACCATACTTTTTCCTCTGGCCCTAAATAAATTACCCTGCCTCTCAGAAACTAAGTTTACAAATGGGGATAATCTGCCTTGTCTGGTTCTTGTGAGTATTAAATAAGCAAATGTTTTAAAACTAATTAGTGTCTGGAGTGGAGTAAACATTTCATAAATGCTCTCTGTTGTTAATATCTATGAAATATATTGAGACTATTTGCCTTTGATATCAAATAACATATAAATATAGTATCTGGAAAAATTGTACAATATCTGCTTTTCTTTTTTTTAGGTCCCTTCAAATTCTTCAGAAATATGTTGTATTATTAGAGCATCACCAGGAACTAGAAAAGTAAAAAGTAAAGGTATTACTTTAAAAAAGAAGAAATATTCTCCTCCTAAAGATATTCCTCAAGGTACTGTACTATGAATAGAGAACCTAATTTTTGGAAGATATAAGACATTTTTTCATTGTAAATACTTATGTACATAGGAAATTCAGTAATATATTTTGAGAGTTCATGTACTAAGTGGAAATGGTAAAATTATGAAGAGTTTAGTCAGGTTGTAGAACCTGATAAAAAACTTTTTGGAAGTTAAAAACTTCTTTTAAAAAATTAACTTATGTCATTGATTCAAAATATATTTATCTAGGATACTTCCTCTTATATTTTGAAATTTAGTGTTGTTGGGTTTCATTTTTAGTAGCACTCTTTTTAAAGATGTGGAGATATTTTTCCATTCACTAACTTTGGTTGAGCACTTCCTCTGGGAAAGGCACTGAACTAAGTACCTTATTATACCTCATTTCTTTCTTACTGTGACTTTATGATAGACAGGATGTGTTCTGTTATCCTCATTTTATATATTAAGACTCTGAGGCTTAAAGTAGTATGCAATTTGTCCAGGATTCTATTGTTACCAAGTGATAGAGAAAAATTCAATCCTTCAAGGCTTCTAACTAAACCCCAAGTTTAGTTTTTCTGTATTTCTCTCACTGCATATCAGGCAGAATGTCTAATTACTCAGTGGAGCTTGGGAACCTTTTGTGAGTAAGCAGGCAATGAGGCAGTTGAAATTTAAAAGATTATGTATAACTTCAGTCCAACCAAGCTGTTTGCTCTTGATCCTTGTTTGCATTTCCTCCACAGAGCCTGCCCTGAGCATTCCCTAAGTCCACAGAGATCTTTTTCTTTTTTGATGAGTTCCTTTAATTCAAGGCTACTCATTTAACACTCAACAATATACTACTACCTGACATAGTTTACAGTGCTGACTCTTCATATTCCTTATGTCATGAAGTTTTCAAGGACAGAGGCTACATAATAAACTTCTTTCTATATCTGTGATATCATCAGTGTAACAGTAGTTAATAGTAGATACTATATCATTCAGGGTTCTACAAAAGAAAGGGAACTAGTAGGATGCATATATACACATATATGTATATGTATACGTGTGTGTGTGTGTGTGTATATATGTAAAGAGATTTGTTTCAAGGAATTATGCAGTTGTACTGACTGGATGAAAACTGTAGGGCAAGGCTGCAAACTCTTGGGTGGCAGCTGGTAATGGGGTCCTTGGGAAGAAATTTCTTTTTCCTCAGCAAAACCTCAGTTTTGCTCTTTAGGCCTTTCAACTGATTGGATGAGGCCCACCCACATCCTCAAGGATAATCTTTACTTGAAGTCAATTATTATAGATATTAATCACATCTACAAAATACCTTCACAGCAATGCCAAGACTAGTATTTAATTTAACTGGGCAATATAACCTAGCCAAGTTAACACATACAACTAACCATCACAGTCCACACCATGTAACTATACATTCATATACATCACCTTAAACCATATTTGATCTCCTAATAAAAGCAATAACAAATTCACACATTTGCCTAACATAGTACAATTGTTCTACATACAACAAAAATGTGCTTTCTCTCCAGAAGAGGATGCAAAGTCCTTTTTCTTATTGAAATGTAGTTGATGTGTATGATTTCTCAGTGATTTCCTGCAGTATTGGTTCCTCCCTTGACATTGGGAGGCAGTAACTCCCATCCAGGGAATTCTCAATAAATTTCTGTTACTCAAGCTGAAAAAAAAAGAAATTTAGTTGATATACCATATTATATTGGCTTCAGGTATATAGTATAGTGATTTGAAAGTTATCTACAGTATTAAATGCTCACCCCAAAAAGTGTAGTTACTATCTCTCAACATACAAAGATACTATATTGACAAAGATATATTGATTATATTCCCTATGCTGTACTACCATCCCCGTGACTAACCTATATTATGATTGAGAATTTTTGTGCTCTTTTATACCCATTACACCCCCGCCCACCCACCTCAACCCCTCCATGGTAACCACCAGTCACTTCTTACTGTCCATGAGTCTACTGCTATTTTGTTCATTTTGTTTTGTTTTTGTATTCCACAAATAAATGAAATCATATGGTATTTGATTTGTTGTTCTCCACCTGGCTTATTTCACTTACTGTAATACCCTCTAGGTCCATCCATGTTGTCACAAATGTCAGGATTTCTTTCTTTTTATGGCTAAATAATATTCCATTGTGTATATGTACCACATCTTCTTTATCCATTCATCTATTGATAGACACTTTGGTTGCTTCCATATCTTGGCTATTGTAAATAACGCAGCAATAAACATAGGGGTGCATATTTCTTTTCCAATCAGCAATTTTGTTTTCAGGTAAATTCCTAGAAGTGAAATTACTGGGTCAAATGGTATTTCTATTTTTTGTTTTTTGCGGAACCTTCATACTGTTTTCCACAGTGGCTACACCAATTGACATTCCCACCAACAGTTCACAAGGGTTTCCTTTTCTCCACATCCTCTCCAACACTTGTTATTTCTTGTCTTTTGGATAGTGGCCATTCTAACAGGTGTGAGATGATATTATGGTTTTAATTTGCATTTCCCTGATGACTAGTGATGTGGAACATCTCTTCATGTGCCTGCTGGCCATCTGTATTCCTTCTTTGGGAAAATGTCTGTTTGGGTCTTCTGTCCATTTTTTAATCAGGTTACTTGGGGTTTTTTTGGTGTTGAGGCATATGAGTTCTTCATGTATTTTGGATATTAGCCACTTATCAGAAAAATTGTTTAGAAATATATTTTCCCATATTATAGGTTGTTTTCTGTTGTATTGATGGTATCCTTTGCTGTACAGAAGCTTTTTAATTTGATGTAGTCCCATTTGTTCATTTTTTATTTTGTTTCCCTTGCCCAAGGAGATGTGTTCATACTTATGTTCAAGAGATTTTTGCCTATGTTTTCTTTTAAGAGTTTTAAGGTTTTATGTCTTACATTTAATTTAGGTCTTTGATCTATTTTCAATTTACTTTAGTGTATGGAGTTAGATAGTAACCCAGTTTCATTCTCTTACATGTAGCTGTTCAGTTTTCCAAACACCAGTTATTGAAGAGACTCTCTTTTACCCATTTTTATATTAATGGCTCCTTTATCATATCATATAAATTGACCATATACGTGTGGGTTTATATCTGGGCTCTCTGTTCTGTTCCATTGATCTATGGGTCTGTTCTTGTGCCAGTACCATACTGTTTTGATTACTGTGGTTTTGTAGTATAGCTTGAAGTCAGGGAGCATAATGCCCCCAGCTTTGTTCTTCTTTACCAGGATTGTTTTGGCTACTTGGAGTCTTTTGTGGTTTCATATGAATTTTAGGATTATTCGCTATAGTTCATTGCAATTTGCCAACAGTGTTTTGATAGGGATTGAACTGAATCTGTAAATTGCTTTGGACAGGATGGCCATTTTGACAATTTTAATTCTTCCTGTCCTCAAGCATGGGATACATTTCCATTTATTTGTATCTTCCTAATTTCTGTTATGAATGTCTTAAGAATGCAGGTCTTTCACCTTCTTCATTAGGTTTATTCCTAGGTATTTTATCTTTTTGATGCTACTGAAAATGGAATTGTTTTCCTGATTTCTATTTCTGCTAGTTCATTTTTAGTACATAGGAATGCAACATATTTCTGTGTATTAATTTTGTATGCTGCAACTTTGCTGAATCCAGTTATTAGTTCTAATAGTTTTTGTTGGAATCTTTAGGGTTTTCTATGTATAGTATTGTGTCATCTGCAAATAGTGACAGTTTTACCTCTCTTACCAATTTGGATGCCCTTTGTTTCTCTTCTTATCTGATTGTTGTGGCTAAACTTCTAGTACTATTTGAATAAAAGTGGTGAGAGTGGATATCTTTGTCCTTTTCCTGATCTTAAAGGAAAAGCTTTTAGATTTTCACCATTGAGTATGACCTTAACTGTAGGTCTGTCATATATAGCCTTTATTATGCTGAAGTATGTTCTCTTTATGCCCACTTTGTTGAGAGTATTCAGCATGAATGAATGTTGAGCTTTGTCAGGTGCTTTTTCTGCATCTATTTAGAGGAACATATAGTTTTTATCCTTTGTTTGGTTAATGTTGATTTATTTGTGGATATTGTACCATCCTTGCATTCCCAGAATAAATTCCACTTGGTCCTGATAAATGATCTTTTGATGTAATTTTTTAATCTTGTTTGCTAGCATTTTGTTGAGGATTTTTGCATTTATGTTCTTCAGGGATATTGGTCTGTAATTTCCTTTTATTGTAACATCTTTGTCTGATTTTCATATTAGAGTAATGCTGGTCATGTAGAATGAGTTTGAAAGTATTCCCTCCTCTTCTATTTTTTGGAATACTTTAAGAAGGAAAGTATTAGTTCTTCTTTAAATGTTTGGTAGAATTCACCTGTGAAGGATTTGGTCCTTGACTGTTGTTTGTTGGGAGCTTTTTGATTACTGATTCAATTTTGTTAGTAATCAATCTGTTCAGATTTCTTTTTCTTCCTGGGTCAGTCTTGGAAGATTGTATTTCTAGAAATTTATGCATTTCTTGTAGGCTGACTTTTTATTGGCATATAATATTTCATAGAATTCTATTATAATGCTTTAAGTTTCAGTAGTGTTAGTTGTAACCTCTTTTTTTTTCTTGCTAAGTCTGGCTTAAAGTTTGTTGACTTTATCTTTTCAAAGAACCAGCTCTTAGTTTCATTGATAGTTCCTATTGTTTTCTTAGTCTCTATTTCATTTATTTCTGCTGTGATCTCTGGTATGTCCCTCTTTCTACTAGCTTCAGTCTTTGTTCCTCTTTTTCTATGTTTAGTTGTAAGGTTAGATACAACCGGTTCTTTTTGTATTTTCTGTTGCTTTGTTGAAGTCCTCCCTGAGATTGTCTATTCTTTTCCCCAGTTCAGTGAACATCTTTATGACTATTACTTTGAATTCTTTATCAGGTAGATGGCTTATATCTGTATCAATTAGCACTTTTTTCTTGTGTTTTGTCTTGTTCTCTTGTTTGGAAATTGTTTTGTTT